TCTTTGTGTCATCTAGCAACTGTTGAATCCTTTTTTTTTTTTTTTTTTTTCATTTTCCGTCATTGTTTCTAAGGTATCTCAATAATTGGTCACCGACAACAGCTCTGTCTTCTGGTTCAGTTACACTGTACTCACTTCCCTTGTCCATAATTTCATTATAATTTTTAATTTCTTGAATTTCAGTTTGGTGTCTTTTTATGGACTCTTACTGCTTCTCTGTGCTAGTCATTCATGTTTTCTATCATTTTGTTTAGCCCAACTAGCTTTGTATTAGTGTTTTCTATAGACTAGTTGATTGTTTTTGTCATATCTTCTTTGAGCTCACCAAGTGCCTTATTTATCCAGTTATCGTTTCTATTTCTTTCGTATAGTTCAGCTGTGTTGCATTTCATTCTTCCCCTTAGATGCCACAAGGATCAGTTTTGGAGGAGTTAGGAGTATGGGCAGGCATTTTGTTACCTTGCCCTTCAAGTTTATGTCTTTTCATATATGTATTGTTTTATTTTTGAGCTAAGGCTTTCAGATTGATTAAAAGAAAAAGATCTGTAGCTAATATGGAGGCAGCTAATTAATAGCTGCATTTCAGGAATGCTTTCTGGGCAGCTAGCTATTGGCCTTGACCTCTGTCCCAGGATCCAACCACCTCTATTTGTTTAGCAAGAGAGGTTCAGTGTACGTGATGTAGTACCCAGTTCCCTGGAAACAAACTTCAATATTGGTTGGTTTGGCTTTGTTTGTTTTGTTTTGTTTTTCTGTTTAGTACAGGGTCTACAAGGTCTCACTACACAGATTAGATGATTAGTAATCCTGCTGTTTTCAGTCTCCCAAGCACTGAAATTACAGATGCGTGCATGTGTGTGCATGCATGTGTGTGTGTGCCACCACACCCAGTCTCAATCACTGTCTCAGTGCACCCTGGGGGCAGGGCCGGCACAGCATGCCAGGGATCAAACCCTTGTCCCTGCATCTGCCTAAGCAGGCATTTTAATCCATTGAGCTACCTGGCCAGCCCTGGTTTGGGTTGTTAAAAATATTTTTTTAATTTTAAAAAAATCTTTATTTATTTATTTGACACAGGGTCTTGCTACACAGCTCAGACTAGTAGTGATCCTCCTGTGTCAGCCTCTCCAGCAATGGGATTACAAGCATGTGCTACCACAACCAGTTTCAGTAGCAGGCACTAGGGGATCCAAGCTATCTCCCTAGCCAAACCAGATTTTTTTTTTTGGTACCAAGGATTGAACTAAGGACCTTGTGCTTGCCAGGAAGGTGCTTATGCCACTGAGCTATCTCTGCAGCCCCTCAAACTGCAATATTGCTAATGACACAAAGGCAATCGAGATATTGGCATCCAGAGAAGACCAATTATTAGCAACAACTACTATATGTCACTACAGTAATAAAATCATCAATCCTTAGCACCACATGCCACATCAGCCCCACCTCCAGGGCAGGCTAAGCAGGCTACGAAAGAAAGAAAGAAAGAAAGAAAGAAAGAAAGAAAGAAAGAAAGAAAATATATAAGGTTGGTCCTAACTCAAGCTGATAGGGCTGGCCAGATAGCTCAGTGGATTAAAGTGCCTGCTTAGGCAGACGCATGGGCTGGAGGTTTGATCATGGGCCTGCAGTGCTGGCCCCATCCCCAGGGAGCACTGAGACTGAGCATGGTGTAATCTCAATGCTTGAGAGACTGAAAAACCGGAGGATCACTACAAGTCTGATCTGTGTAGTGAGACCCTGTACTAAATACAATTTTTTAAGAGAGAGAGACAGAGACAGAGAGAGAGGGAGAGGGAGAGAGAGAGAGAGAGAGAGAGAGAGAGAGAGAGAGAGATCTTTTCAAAAGAAAAGGACTTCTTTTTATCTATCTTAGGTCATTATGTCCTATTTTGGTTGAACTCTGGCTTTCAGATTTGCTGGCTTAATACTGTAAAGATGAATTAACACATTGGACTTTCTTAAAGAGAATCATGAAGACAGCATGGAATTCCTATAGAAGAGTTCTGCTGTGGGTTTGTGTTAGGCTAGTAAGCACTGTGGAGGAGGCTGTCCTGAGGAAACAACGCTGTAGACTGGGATGCTCCAGTAAGATGAAGAAGATGGGACAACCATCTATCTCCTCAGTTAGTGGGCCTACTCCATAGAACAGGTTGTCCTAAGTGCCTTTCACCAATCTATTTTTTCCTCTAAAGAGTAAACTTTAAGGAGGGGAAATTTCTCCTGTTAATCATGCTAATTTTAGGTTCATAATTTTTTTTAGTTTGGTGGCATAGCAACAGTTCTATGATCAAAATTTTACCTCTTCAGGCTGGCCAAAGATCTTCAGGCTAGCTCAGCAGATTAAAGTACCTGCTTAGTCAGACCCAGAGGCCAGGGTTCAATACCAGCCTGCGGTGCTGGCTCCACCCCCAGAGCACACAGAGATGGCAATTGAAACTGGGCATAGTGGCACACGCCTGTAATCCCAGCTTTGGGGGAAGCTGAACACAGGCGGATCACTACAAGTCCAGTCTGCATAGTGAGATCCTGTAGGCCCTGTAGATCTTTACTAAAAATATATTTAAAAATTTTTTTAAAATAAATTTTACCTCTTCCATGAACTTCCACAACTCCATCCATCAGGTACTAGAATTAGCTACTTCTCCTAAAAGTGAGCTAAGAAGAAAAAAAAAATCCCTTCTAAAACTCATTCCTACAGAATGTTTTTCTCAGTTTGCATGGGCTAGAGCAGTTCTTTATTTGGGTACATTAAAGCAGAACTTTTGTCAGTTTAAACCACTTATCTTCAGAGTATTTTCTAAGCCGTTTCTCCAAATGTCAGCATAAAGATAAGTAGTGTAGCAGTGCCTCACCAAGAGGTGAGGAAGCTGAATTTCACAGTACTTGAAAAATCAAGCAGTATCTGCTATGCAGAAAGTGCTAATGCTGTTATTGGAACCAAGCAAATGACTCCAAAAGTCTATATTCATCTTCCTTAGTTCCTGTAAACACCATCCAGAAGCAGTGACCTTTTGATATAAGAGGGCTGAAGACTGTAGAAGTTTTCACTGAGCAGGCTGCATGACAATTCAGGCTTGACAGGTGATAGAGCTCCTAATGTGGGCAGAGACAGTCATCAGAAGTCAGTTGCTCTTAATTAACAACTAAAGGTGGGCAATGCCTGAGATGACCACTGCTCCCTTAGCTGTCCTCACATATGCTTTCCCTCTGACAATAGGCCATGGTGACCGCAGCATCTACTTACCTCTTTGAAGCCACAGAAAAAAGATTCTTTTTCAAGAGTGTGTCTATATTGATTCCTGAGGCTTGGGCGCAAAATCCTCAATACAGGAGGCCGAAACATGAGAGCTACAAACACGTGAGTGCCTCAGCCTTCTCTAACAGAAAGGAAAACTGTCAGATGCTCCCTAGTTTGGCCACAGATATATTGTTTGAGATTCATTCTAACTAAATCTCTTCATTTCTGCTCTTGATGTCTAACCATCTTTTCCACCACCCTCAGGCTGACGTGATAGTTGCACCACCAACCCTCCCAGGCCTGGATGAACCATACACCAGGCAGTTCACAGAGTGCAGAGCCAAAGCAGAGCACATTCACTTCACCCCTGACTTTGTTCTGGGCAAAAAGCTAAATGAATATGGACCATCAGGTAGGAAATTGGTCAAAACTCTAATTTTTATCAAGCAGGTCTTCCCCCAGTTTAAGTGAGAAGACTTTGGATCCAGAGGTCCTCGTTTATAATCCTGGTTCTCCTGTGTATTAGTTTTGTGTGAATTAAACAAGCTTTTTAATCAAAGCTAATTCCCAATCAAATGTGAATGGAGGACCCTCTACATTTGACAATTTTTTGAAGGATGATCTATGTAAATACACTTAATGCAATGAGTAATAGCATCTGCTCAAGAAATCATTTTTAGATTTAATTTTCCAGACCTCTACAGCTGGATATTATCAAATGCCACCTCCATAGATCTCAGGTGTGTAGTACACTGGAACCAGCTATGTTACCTCTCACTAATCAAGAGAAAACATTTGTAGACTGTTAGTTGCTGATAGAGATATGTAAATGTTTGTTTGTGGCAGAAAAAAATCTCTAATTTATTAGTTGAACCTAGTCAAACTACCATTTCAATTACTTCAATCTAAATGTGAAGGCCATTTTTAAAAGTTAAATCATGTTATTTTAAAAAGACAAATAAGTGAAAGGATAGCCAACTTGTATATTGTCTTCAGTAAACATTATCATAATTCCCCATATCTCAGAATCATCTCTCCCCTTCTAATGCCTGATAAATGAGCATTCATTCTTTCTCTTGACTCTTCCAAAACTCATCTAACCCCATCAGAGACTGGCTCCTCATGCCAACTTTGAAAAACCATATCCCTTCCCATCCCAATCTTAGCTGTCCTATACATCTTATCCTTACCACTTTTGTTCTCTGTAGCCCGATTATCCTTTTTACCCTCCTAGCTGTTCTTTCTTTTTACTTGAAATGTCTAGCAAAGAGTATAAATAGTTCATTTTTCCCACTCTAATGCTTTGCACTGATTGACTTGCTCAACCTCCAGTATTTAATGACTCAGCTAGTCTTTATCTACTAACTCAGCTATGAGAGAAGTGTTACCAGTTTTTAAGCCCAGGGCCTCCATCTGCACTCCTGATCCTTTTCCACTCTTCAGCCCTCACTTATCGCTGGCAGGCCCTCCCCTTCTTCTCAGATAGGTCTGTATTCCATCAAGTAACATATGTGCTTGCAAAGCTCACATTTGTAAACTATGACCTTAAAAACCAGTCTTCGCAAAAATAAGATGATGAAAGCCCTCAAAATGTATGTGATTTTGTAACAACTATAACAGTGAGAATAAGTCTCTGGAAAGATCATATGGAAGAGTCAAGCAGCAACTCTGTGTGGCTGGAGGCTGCCAGAGTTGATGTTACAAAGACAGACAGACAGACAGACAGACAGACAGACAGACCAACACACACACACACACACACACACACACACACACACACACACCAATGCTACCAGACTAAGAACAAGGTAGCCAGAAATGAGGCACTGATGTGGATGGACACAGAATTCTCAGTCATACAGGCTCCAGTACAGGTGAGCCTGGGAGGCAAGGTTGCTGAGCAGAGCACGCCTGAGAGCAACTGTCTAAGAAGGAAGCAGCAGGGCCAGTAACCTTTTTTTCTAGTTTTTTTTTTTTTTTATGAACAGAATATATTTATTGAGGGAAAGAAAGCTCCTGCCTGCGAGAGGGATGGGAAGGGGTGCCCAAGAGGGTAGTCCCCTGGAAGCTGTCTCTTCCAGGGACTTTTATAGAGAAAAACCAGGCAGTGAGAGGTGAGTCTAAGGTGGTGGAGAAGACATGAGAACTCACTTAGTTGGGCATTACGTGGGAGAAAACCATGGTCAGCCAATGAGATTACAAGCACCATTGCTCAGGTAAAATTGATTAAATCCAGTACCAAATGGGGAAGTGAGTCATGTAGCAAGAGGGCATGAATATGGGACAGGGTCTCTTCCTGATGGGGGTTGGGCTAGTGATTCATTTGGGCTCTTTCAAGGTGATTGATACCTATTTAGAATATCAATCCCTGATGCCCATCTTTAGGGAAATATGTAGCTGTATTTCCTCATTTGTCGTGGTCTTGAGGTATGGTCCATATGGGAATGTCTGTCTCTTCCAAGATGCAAAGTCACCTTGTCTTCCATCTTGTCTCCTTGAGGGCCTGGCCCTGTCTGACATTTTTATGGGAAGTCATTACAGTCTACTTGATACAAATCTTTGACTATATTCATAATTATCCTGTTGTGATTATTTGACCCATGGGTGTTTGTTTCTTTTGACCTTGTCTCCTCCAGACTTCATGCTATACGTTTACCCAAGATAAAAATGCCTTCTGTCTATCGAGGGCCTTTAGGTAGAATCTCTGGAGAGTATCTCTGACTGCTGGTTCACAACTACGACCCCTTTCAGCCTGAAGAAGCCAGAGCAATCATCATGCATAGTTCCTTCATGGCAGTTCGGGTTACTTATTCAGAGGGGGGAATGTGGTAGGCAGCTGAATTAGATAGAAATATTATAGGCAGCGGCAGTAACTTCATGTTGTCTTCAAATCAACTTATCTCCCATTGCAGCAGCAAACATGACTTTATCCTCCTGTGAAGGAGGCTATTGTCCCACTGTCATTAACGTGACTTTGTTTACAGAAAAACTAAGTCACTAATTTTGAAGTGCAGTGTGTAGAGAAGTAACTTAGGGAATTTGTTATGATGCAGACTTTCAATCAGTAGCTCTCAGGTGGGCTGGAGATTGCACTTCCAAAAGTTTCTGGGGGTGCCACTGCCCTTGCTCTGGGGTACATTCTGAGCAGGAAGGGCTTAGAGGTGAGGCCTGACTTTCTCACTACTACTGACGTTTCTCCTCTATGTTCAGCTCTCATATGCATTATTTGAGGTAGGGAAACATACACTGTGACACAACCTACTATTTCCAGACTCTCTCTTTCCATTTCCATTTCTTCTGAAGTTTTTCCTAACATGACTAAAACAAAAGTTTGGGTTTTTTTTTATATCTCAAGCTGTAGATTCAGTTTTATTCTTCCATTCTCTGGAAATTCTTGTGAAAAGTAATTTATACTATCTCCTTCTCTGAAAACATCTCCCCTTTAAAGAATACTTTGCATTATATATATCCTTATTATTCTTAAGACTTCATATTTCCCTTAATATTGAAAATACTGTTTTATATAAATAATACTTTATGTAACATAATGAATAACTTCACTTTTCAATTCCCAAAAGGCTATATGGTCTGCAATGCTGTTTCTCACTTATTTTTTTATTCTCAACCTTGCTGGGACCATTTTGAAAAATTCTTTTCCTAAATCAATTATAAGGTATCTTAAAAGAATAGAACTACTGTCTATCTGAATATGTTGCTGATAGGGTACAGGTTTCTGGAATCATTGTAGTATCTAAGACATTTTGATCTTTAAGAACAGAAGCCCAGTTCCTAGTCCATTCTGATCATAAAATATATTCCATACATGTTTTCATTCAATATGTTGTAGGATAAAAGCTATAATGAATGAAGTAACTATATAATGTTATTTAAGGAATATGCACTTTTTGTCAAAAAAATATAAATACGAGGGGGTCATAGAAAATCTGAATGTGAATATTTTTATAAATGAAAGATATTTGTAAAATTTTTGAAAAATACAATTTGTCACTTGAATTGTGCTTATGATTTTGAAATGATTCCCCACAGGGAGACTGCTCGTCCACGAGTGGGCCCACCTCCGCTGGGGGGTGTTTGATGAGTACAATGAAGACGAGCCTTTCTACAGCGCCAAGTCAAAGAAAATTGAAGCCACAAGGCAAGGCTACTTGCATTTTCTTAGATAACCTAGACTTCTAATTGATGGTATTCTCTTTACTCTGATTTGTTATAAATTAATCATTTTTCTGTGCCCCAATGTAGATTGCAGATGCAATATCACAAAATTGCTACTATTTTTTAGAAAGTTTTCCTTTATGCAGCTAGTTGTCCATTTATAATATATGCAACTTCAATGCAAGGTATCTGTTGACTGTCTGACACATTTCATACCTGCCTGCCACTGCTGCTAGAGTTCGCTTTGACTGAATATAGACACAAGGTAGATGGACTTTACTATACATTGGGAGAAAATTTAAATTATTTGCATTACACAGTGAAAACTAAAAAAAAAATGCTCAATGGTTAAGCAGCTTTAAAGAGCCAAAAGAAACTCATTGGAGTTATAAGAAAATATCAATCTAGCATCACAATTCATAATAAACTGTCTGAGAGGGGGAGAACAAAACAACCAAAATGAAACAGTTGCATCCATTTGAAATGAGGCACCATCAGCCTCTTGATGTTATGGTCTGCTGGGGAGACTGAACTATCAATAATGTAAAAACTGAAAAGTACACAATTTCATTGAATGAAAAATGCATAATTTCATTGAAGACCCTTTCTCAGCTCTATTGCAGCAGCTTTTAGGGAAATATTTAAGTATTTCAATGATTTCCTGTGTTTATGTCACATCCCTCCAAATAGCCTTCTCTGCTCTGTAATATTCACCGTGAGTGTTCTTATACATGGTACTGTTACATTAACTAAGTTTGGGGAAACAGAAGCATAGAACAGTTTAGGAGACTCTCTAAATGACTGAGGTAAATCTAGTCATCACGTTCTGACTTTCAGATGAAAACCTACAGGAAAGATGAGACACAGCCACCTCCCTGTATAGCTGCTACAAACATGGCAATCTGTTGCCAATTCCATCCATTTAAGCACACATTTAAATCTCCTCCATCATTCTTTATTCCACTGCATTTGTTGACAGCACCTCAAAGTTTGCTTCTTATCATATTTCCTTTTCGGTAAGAATGTCCAAAATAATCCAAACACTTGTAGCTCTGCCTTAGTCCACTTATGTGGGGGATATCAGCTTGAGAAGTCTGCAGAGAACATCAAGCTGAGGTAGTATGCACAGAAAATGGCCTTACAAATTTCCTCATCTGGGTGCCTGCAGTGCATTCACCAATGGAAGGCCAGCAGAAGAGATGCATGAGCAAGAGCCTGGCGGCCTTAATTATATCCAAGAACTCAGTCATCTATATCACTTAAATATTTTCAATTTATGCTCTTGAAAAAGTAAATATTGATTGGAACTCTTGAATTTGTAATAAGCATAGGAAGTAAATGGAGCACACAAATGAATCACCTTGATACAAACATCATCACAAATTGACCACTTAAGTTTTTTTTTTAAATATTAATGACTACATTGCCTCAAAGAATAACTGTCACATATTTTCAGGTGTTCTGCAGGTATCTCTGGGACAAACAGCATTCATACATGTCAAGGAGGTAGCTGTGTAACTAGAAGATGTAGAATTGATCCTACTACAAAATTGTATGAAAAAGGCTGTCAGTTCTTCCCTAATAAAGATCAAAAAGAAAAGACTTCCATAATGTTTATGCAAAGTATTGATTCTGTAAGTATGCCAATGTTTGCCCAAGAGTTTATAATCAAAGAACATATTGTATTTTATTTGTTTATTTTCTTTTATTTTCTGGTGCTGGTGATTAAATCCAGGGTCTTGCACATGCTACACATGTACTGTAGTAGTCATAGTGCTATATCCCATAACCTCAACATGTCTGACTTGAAAATATGGATTAAATTTATTCATATAAAATTCTTTGGTCACTGTGTGAGACACTGTAAGCACTCAGTTAATGTTACATAGTGTTACCATTTTGCTAAGTTTACTCTAGTATAAACTATTTTTCATTAATTATATTTCATTCATTCAGTAAAGCATATTTGTAGGACATATTTTATTTTTTTCAGATTTATAATGAAGAAGTATTTTAAAGAATGGTACAGTAAAACTTTCCATGTTATCAACTTTCTAGGTTGTTGAATTTTGCAATGAAAAAAGCCATAACCAAGAAGCTCCAAGTCTACAAAACCTAAAGTGCCATTACAGAAGCACATGGGAGGTAATCAGAGAGTCAGAGGACTATAAAAACACCACGGTGATGGAGGAAACACCTCCTGCACCTACCTTCTCCTTGCTGAGGATCAGTGACAGAATTGTGTGCCTCGTTCTTGACAAGTCTGGAAGCATGGGTGTAAGTTTGGACCCACTTTTTCCGGAAACAGAAATGGTGATAACTGTTCTGAACATATTGTACTCTACCTGTCCCTAGATTGTTTCTAATTACATGGCAGTGTAAAATAACATCATCTCTATGATTATAATCTCATGATATTGCAGAAAAAAATTGAAATAAAAAAATTCAGTAGAATTAAAAAGACACTTACCCAAGTTCTCCATTTTTTTCTCAAGAAATTAGATGTTGTAGTGCAGAGAGCTGATAATCAAGCATTATTTCCAAGATTAAAACCAGAGATTGAAAGATGAAATTTAGTTAAAATATGAACCTTTTACTGAAGGCGCTTGTAAAACATGAGCATCAATGGCTATTAAATTCTATTCCTGGATCTAATAAGATCAATCAGTAGTATTCCTCACATAGAATTATCATACCAATGGTACCTTTTTACCTTCAGTATGAGTGGCCTCTTTATGCAAAGTAACTAACAAAAATCACCATAAAACAGGTGGAGAGATCAACCAGGCATTCCATTATCACTCAGTCAATAGAAGGCATTGCTCTTGACTCTAAGAAGACAGGTCCATGCCTAGAGATTGTGCAATTCAATAGTGTTTTATCCTAGAATAGAGTTTATCTCATAGGATTGATCAACATATCACTGTCAAAATGAATGAACTATAATCAAACAATATAATATAATAAGGATCCCAGAAATATGGTACATTTGCTGCTAAAGAAAGCATGCTAAAATCAGAAATAAATGCAGGTAATGGGGGAAATGTAGTTATTTTAAAAGGGAAGAGAAATATAGAGATTAATGAAATGGATCACAGTAACATGGGATTTTAAAAATCCATCAAAGTGCTGACAACAGTACGTAAATGTAACCTAGGAAAATGTCACTGAGAAGAGGACAGGTTGATGACAGGGAGAAGATAAGCTCCCCTAGGCAGGGTGATGATAGATCTAGGATAGAAGACAAAGCAAAGTAGTGGAGAGCCCAGAAACATGGGCTAGTAGGAGTTATTCAAGCAATTTGCCTCAATGACATCAGAGAGAAATTTGGGCATTGGTTGAGAGGAGGTGGCATGAAGGAGTTGGGTGATGATGGACTAAAGAAGACAAATGCATGAGGAGATGTACACCCTGGGAAATCACCTCGAAAAACAGGTTGCAATTATTTTAATTGTTGCTAGCTCCTGTTAATTTTATAAAACATTGGCTTTCAGTTTGGTATTTTATATATGAACATAACAAATTTTGATTATAATCCATGTGACCATGACCTTCCTCTTCAGCACCTTTCCCTGATTTGCTTTCTTTTGAATCTCCTTTCTCCTTTCATACTTTTGGGCTTTTTTTTTTTAGAATCCATATAAAAGATGAAACATATGACATTTGTCTTTCTGAATCTGGTTTATTTTGTTTAACATGAGAACATCTAGTTCCATCTATTTTCTGCAAATGACATAATTTCATTTTTCTTTATTGTTGAGCAATACTCCACATTTATATATACCTTCCTTTCCTTTCTAGTCATTCATTGTTGGGCACACAGGCTGGCCCTTATCTTGACTATTGTAAATTATGTTGCAAAAATATGAGTATTTATTTATCGCTATGGTATGCTGACTTTAATTCCTCCACCATCTAACAAGGACTGTTTGTATATTTTTGTCAAATACTAGTTCTAGTTCAGTTTTAAAAAGACCTTCCATACTTGTTTCCATACTGAAGACACTAATTGGTATTACTACTGAGAGTGTAAAAGGGTCTTTCCCCCTAATCCTTACATTTGTTTGTTTTTTTCTTTCATATTATTGACAACAGCCCTTGAAGTGAGATAAAATTTCAAAATACTTTTGATTTGAAGTAAACTAAATAGCTGAACATTTCCTCATGTGCTTATTAGCAATTTGTATTTGTTCTTTCTTTGCATCTCTTCTTTTGAGTAGTATTTCTTCAATTTCCTTATCTATTTATTGATTGGACTATTTAGAATTTTGATGTTATGTTTTTAGGGTTACTCATCCAACCTGAACATTAATGCTCTGTCATCAGAGTAGCTGGAAGAGATTTTGGTACCATCATCTAGACTTCTTTTTCATGCTACTGATTATTTCCTTTGCTATGAAGAAATTGAATTTGATAGAATCCAATTTGTTCATTTTTGCTCATTTCTTGTGCCATTGGAGTCCTATTCAGGAAGTTCTTTCCTGTAATTATGGCTTCAAATGTTTCCCCTAATTTTCTTTGGAGTTCAAGTTTTCGATAATAACACTTACGTCTTTGTTTCATCATAAATTGATTTTTAAGCCAGATGAGAGATAAGACATAATTTCAGTATTCTACATAGGGATATGCAATTTTCTGGGCAGCATTTGTGTTTTGTTTTTTTGCGGGGGGAGGGGCACCATTTGTTAAAGACGTCATCTGTTACCCAAAGTATTCTTTGGCCGCTTTGTCAAATCCAGGTGGCAGTTGTGTGGGTATGTTTTTGAATCTTTTTTTATGTTAGATTGGTCCAAATGTCTATCTTTGTGTCAGTACCATGCTGTTTTAATTTGACTTTGTAATAGAATGTGCATCAGGTATTGTAATGACTCCAGCCTTACTTTTTTTCTTAAAGATTGCATTGGTTATTCTTCCTCTTTTGTGTTCTGATATGAATTTACAGTTTTTCTTCTAGTTCTGTGAAGAATGAAATTGGTATTAGGATAGAGACTGCATTAAATCTGTAGATCACTTTTGGTGATATGGTCACTTCAGCAATATTAGTTCTGTCAATCCACAAAAATGGAAAGTCTTTCCATCTCCTAATGCCTTTCTTCCTCATTTCTTGTCTACTTTCAATTTTCATGGTAGGAGATGAAAGTCTTCAACAAAGTCTTCATCAAAAATATTTTAGTGGAATCTTTAGGATCTTCTGAATCAAATCAACTGCAAATAAGGATCATTTGATTTTTCCTGACCTACTTTCATCCTTTTTCTTCTCTACCCTAATCACTCTGGCTAAAATTTCATGTACTATATTGAATAGGAGGATAAGAATGAATATTTTTGTTTCACACCTGATTTTAGAAGAAATGTTTTCAGTTTTTCTGCTATTCATTATGACAATGGTGATGTGAATTTTGACAGGCTGTCAAAGAGCCATTTCCAATAAAATCATTGGCAATTAAATTGTGGGAAAAAGTTAGTAGAAGACAAGACATTGTGAAGCATTGGGGTTTAGTCTCAGCTCAAATAAGTTCCATATATGGAGTAGACTAGTCCTCAGAGAATGAGGTAATGTCAGCTCTCACTGAAGACTACAGTATTCTCGTGTCATTGGGGAATGTTGGTGACTTCATCTAGAATAGCTGGAACTATGTAATTAGAGGATCTCTAGCATGTGAATCATCATTACCATTACGTGGCTATTTTCTTTTACTCTTTTATTCAGGGTAGTGATCGCCTCAACCGAATGAATCAAGCAGCAAAACACTTCCTGCTGCAGACTGTGGAGAATGGCTCCTGGGTAGGAATGGTTCAATTTGATAGTGTTGCAGACATTACAAGTGAGTTAATAAAAATAAGAAGCAACAGCGAAAGAGACATGCTTGTGACAAGATTGCCTACACAAGCTACTGGAGGAACTTCCATCTGCTCTGGGATTAAAAAGGCATTTGAGGTGAAAATAATAAAACTAACTATAATTCTTTGAGTTTATCTTGAATTACACACTTCTTTGCTGTGCATGTTAGCTGTGTCTTTGTTGCTCATCTGTCATTCAGCATCTGATGCAAACCTTGGTAAATGTTAAGTTGAACAGATGTTTTTTCCATGAATGAGAACTATGCAGTTCCCAGCATGGTGACTCACGGTGAAAAAGCTCAGTGAAACTCACACAAGACGTGAGAAGTAAAGAAAAGAGTTCGACTTCATCCCTGATTTTTTTTTCATTCAGATTGTAGGAGAAATGTGATGCACATACTCTATTAATTCCACACATATTTAGATGTACATTTCAGCTTGGTTCAATGCAATCAGAGTGCATTTTTCACATATTTGTCACATTGTCTCACAGCATGCAGACTTTCTAATGAAAATAGTGAATTATTTCTCTGCTTCCCACTTCATTAGGGATTTTGACATCTCAAACCCTCTTCCCCACATCAGCAAGTACTTCTAGTCCAAGTCCCAAAGAAATTCACTGGTAATCTGGCATTTTTTTTTTCTCTTTTGTCTTAGAATCCACTTCTCAAAATGGTGCTCAAGGAAGCCATTATGAATTAGAGCAACCAGATAAAATACAATGTAATTACAGTTTCATGCTAAATTCTTTTTATTCTCTGTATGGATGCAGAACTCTAATTTTTTATTTCATTTTATTTTATTTTTTCGTGCTGGGGACCTAACTCAGGAACTTGTACTTTCCAGGCAGGTGCTTACACTGCTGAGCTATCTCCTTTGCCCTCTGAGTTTTAAACTGTTGGGGTTTTATAAATAAAGAATTCAGTTACAAGTACAACTCAATAAACATTATTTATTTGGTTTTCATCAACACTAATATGTTTATTTTGATGCTATAAGTAAACTAATAGTTATGTAATAAGTCCCTAACCTCACCGTGTTTAAAAGTAAACTTATCTTTCTCTCTAAAGCATGCTGGGCATTTTCTAATTTGGAGTCAATGATGTTTTATATCAAGGTGGATTATTAAAGTATCAAGTTATATGGACTATAAACTTCACATATGAAAGGCTTCTCAAAGGACATTCAAGTCAAAGAAAGCAAAACAACTATCTGTAACCACATCTCACAGATACATCTTGGGTGTCTAAACCACCTGCATTTCCTAGGCTGAGATAGTGCCCTTGTTAACGTGGGCAGAATTTTCCAAAACCCTGCCCCTACCAATGTTCATTTGAATAAATGTTTCCTGCATCATAAAGTATAGAAAAAAGTTCATATTTCAGATTCCTAGGAAACTAGATATGTTGGTACATGGCAGTAATCCCAGCACTCTTGGAGGATGAACCAGAGAGGATACAAGTTAGAGCCGAAATTAAATGATTAGAGAGCCTTGTCCCAAAGTAAACAGTAATGGGCTGGAGATATAGTTGAATACAGTGACTCTGGTTGAATCTTCAGTATAAAATAAGAACAATAAAAAAGATACCCCAGATATTATTTGCAAATTGTGTGATTTTAAAACAAAGTCTCTCTCTTCTACTCTACATATTTTTCTTTATTTTCTCGATATTTGTCTACTTTCCTGTTGATCTGTTTCAGCTACTGTGCTAACCGTGTCTGCAATGCCTCTGCAGGTGATTGAAAAGGCAGGCTTCCAACTGAATGGGTCTGAGATAGTGCTGCTGACTGATGGGGAGGACAGCACTGCCAAAGCCTGTATTGGGGAAGTGACGGAAAGTGGGGTCATCATTCATCTCATCGCCCTGGGACCATCTGCTGATCAAGCAGTCATACAGATGAGCAATGAAACAGGTTAGAAGATGATCTATATATTCCGGACTTTGCACAGGACTGTGTCAATGTCTGGGTTCACAGCCCCGCACCTCCTCTTGAACTCTGCTCTGAGGATGCTGTGTCAGGAACTGGAGACCAGCATCAAAGCAGACTTAATGCTGTTCTCAAGATACGCAGAGCAGAGTGCAACAGAAAGCAAATAAAACTGCTAGTCAAATCACGTAATCAGACAGCATTTCTCCATGACATAGCAATATACAGCAACACCAATATTCCATTTCTGATTTACTTTGCCTGAAAAACCTAAGCCAACTTTCTTAGAACTAAATAAATAAAAGTGAATAATTCTCTTAAAGTACTGTGTAAAGACCATGAATCTAAATACACAGAATTGTAGCATATTCTTTAATTGTCTGGTCATTTTAAGTATTTAATCTAGCTGAGATTTGACACTGAGGTATATTAAGCTTAAAATTATTAAGGTAGCTTTTTCTTCATGGTTATGAAATTTTAAATTAACATTTCAGAATTAATCTGGCATTGGTCTGTTTTAATAGTATGTACTGAAACGGATACAGGGGAATGAAACTCCCAACCTAAAAGGTACCTGGGATGAGTTCGTGTTCTCTAAAACTGAAGAACGAATTTTAGGAACAAATGCAGGTTAAGAGCAAAGTGTATTTATTGGGGGAAAGAAAGCTCCTGTCCTAAAGAGGGACAGAAGAGGGCCCTGAGCCAGTTGTCCCCAGGAAGCTGTCTCTTCCAAGGACTTTTATAGTATAAAACCATGTGGTAAGGCGGGTCTAAGGTAGAGAACATGGGAACTTGCTTAGGTGAGCATGAGGTGGGACAAAACTATGGTCAACCAATGACATTACAAGCACCATTGCTCAGGTAACATTGATCAAATCCAGGACCAAATGGGGAAGCGAGTCACCTGGCAAGCAGGCACGAATATAGAACAGGAGTTTAGCCAGTAGCCAGTGGTAGCAATTGGATTAGTGACTCTTCCTGGCTTCCTCAAGATGATGATCAATCCCAGACACTTATCTTCATGGAGGTAAACATTTGTTTGATCTTTGGTCTTTAGGTCTGGCTCACAGAAGGAGCATCCATCTCTCTCACAGTTGCAATGTATCTTGCCTTCCATGCTGTCTCCTTGAGGGCCTAGCCCTGTCTGACTGCCTGTAATATGTCTATCTATTTATCTGCCTACAACAAAACTAAGACTTAATTTTTGCCTCATTAATCACTAAAATGTTTAAGGATTTATCGTTTAGAAATTAACTCAGCTTGTGCATTTACACTTTAGGAGGAAATCACCATTTTGCAACAGATAATGCTGAGAGCAATGGACTCATTGACGCTTTTGCGGCCCTGACATCAGAAAATGCTGGACTCAGTCAGAAGTCCATTCAGGTGAGAGTTCCCAGTATCAGAGGTTTGTGTTTGTATTTGCCATAACCAAGAAATATAATTGGGTTGCTTCTACAATCTTTTCAAACTGAAATTTTAATTAAAATGAAAATGTGAAGTAGATAGAATTCTTTACATATAAGTAAAATAAGTGGTGAAATGAGAGTAAATTATGTCAAGAAATAAGAGACCACTTTTCTCATTTTGACATAAATTTTAGTTGAAAAATATATTAAAATCTAATAAAATGTCAGTTTCCTAGAAAAACAAGACTTTGTCCAAAACAAAGTACCCATTTTTTATGAATACACTAAGATTTCTAAGCGTGCTTTAGCTTTCACTACTATAACGTTAATTTAGACAAATGAACTGATGAAACTAATTTGGAAATAAAAGGAATATATTTCGGAAATAAATATAAATACAGGGAAATAGTAAATGCATCTCTGTAAGCTTAAGGCTTATTTCCCCCCTTCAACACTTGTTTTATTGACTTTTTATTTTATTTACATCTTTCTGAGCAAGAGTTTTTTTACTTGTGTCTCAATAGCATGGCATTTGATTTTAAAACTGTCTATGATAAATAAATCTGTGTGATTTTAAAACTGTCCTTAAGCTTTGGTTAGTAATTCATATATCATGTATGATGTCAGCACTGCTTGTTTTATCAAAATATATTTTATAAAAATGTTTCTTTTCTTACCAGTTCACTCTGTCATATTTTTAATGCCAAGATTTCTGTCTTCTATTCTGTGTGTGTGTGTGTGTGTGTGTGTGTGTGTGTGTGCGCTCGCGCGCGCAAGGTCTTGCTACACAGCTCGGACTTGTAGTGATCCTCCTGTTTACAGCCTCCCAAGTGCTGGGATTACAAGCCTGTGCCACCTCAATCGCTGACTCAGCATGCCCCGGGGGCAGGGCCGGCACAGCAGGCCTGGGGAGTGAACTCCAGGCCCCTGTGTCTGCCTAAACAGGTGCTTTAATCCACTGAGCTATTTGGCAGACCCTAAGTTATTTGGCCAGCCTTGCTTTTCATATAATGCCATCCTTCATACATCTGTTTGACCTTTTCTTGAAAGTATATACTGTCCAGTTTCTTACTATCTATTCTTTGTGAAAAATTACTTGAAGATTCCACATCAGGAAAATATCCATGAAAGTGTGTCTCAGTTTCTAGTTTTATATCTTACTCCTTCACTGTATCTTGTCTTTCTTAATTACTTTTTCAGCACTGAGACACAATACACAAAACTTACAGCTCTAAGGAGAAATGGTTTATTTTAGATTACAGTTTATAGAGGCTTCAGTCCATAGTCAGCCTACTCCAATGCAGTGTAGCATGGAAGAGGAGAAACTGATCAACATACGTATCCTTCCACCCACCCAAAATCCCCACCTATAATGACATAAGGCTTTTGTGGAGCCTCTGGGTATAAACCCTGGCACCTAGAAGATTGATGTGCTTCTATTCATGAAAAATTCACTTACTCCATCCCTAAGAGATGTCAAAGGCCCAGCACTGATGAAAAGTCCAATTCCCGTTTAGCTGATGAGTATCATATTCCCTTGATTCATCTCCCAATATCCCCACCTTTAGGCACTTGAGGCAGATGTAGATATAAACTGGCACACTACTGAAATACTCTAGTTCCCTGTAAATATTTATTGAATAATCATGAATTTAAACCAAAGGTAACACACACACACACACAGACTTTAGCTAATCTTACTGTACTTACTCCCTTTAATACAAAAAACGAAGGTGAAATTTTCACTAGAAAATGGTGAAAAAGATAACAGAATCATATTTATATATA